ATATCTTTTCACAATCGACATGTACAAGTCGGACCGATGGTGTGTGTGTGTGTGTGAATCAATGGGGCTGGAAACGAGGGCAGTTTGAAGTACCCGTCATGCCACGAATGACCGAATCCAGACATGACGTTCAATAGCTGTGATCAGGTGGCAACATATCGCTGGTTTTATGCTTTCCTAGGAATACATTCACAATGGGCGACAATTTTAGACGAGAAATGGGGGTCCGCATCACCAAACATAGTGATATGCCTCACTTGACTCCTGGATTATTCGTGTTGCCAGATAAGAAACAAAAAAACCTAATATTTACATTTGCCTCGCAGTTACCTGTGTAGGATAGGTGATACTGAAGTTGAGTGAACATTCTTAAGGTGTCGAATTCATAAAAAAACCTCAGTTCATCCAAACAGCTATTCATTCAAGAAGCAAAACACTGTAGGCACACCAGTATCGCATATCACTAGTCCGTCAGGGTTTCAAAATCCGGACCCATTGCATGGAACGCGAATTACCACTGTACTAACCAGCCCACATTGAGGCCCACCAGAATTACCAGTTCGTTTTCAATGATAGTCAGTCCGTTCATTTTCGGCCAAACAGCAATGAAGGGAGACAGCTGACTGACTATCTGTACATTCCAATCGAAAGTTTCCCACCACATCAGGTCTTCCATGCATGTTTAGGGGGTGGGTGGGTGGGTGACTTGTTACAAACATACCAGGATGGGTCATTCGCTGAGCTGATCATCTATTCACGGACTTAGTCGACCAAGGCGTTGATGAGAAAGCTCAATTATTGTTAAACCAATTCCGTAGCGCAGAAGTTGTTTATAGCGAAGTTGGGGTGACGGACCCAATCGGAACAATCAAGTAGTAGTAGAATGTTATGATCACATAAACTTTTCCATTCCGAATTACCCGGATGGTGCATCGCTTCATAACTGATTCTCTATCAACACTTTAGCAACATGGAATTCCTAACCCAACCTCCGGTGCAGGTTCGACAATCGCCGTACCGTTCAGCCACAACAAGGGGATGTGACATTTGCCCAACTAATCCGAGCGAGAGCTCGCACCTTGAACATAACCTCGAGTCTTCAGCATGCCCTCCCCCCTTCGCCTGTAAACTTCGACTGTGTGCACATTGGGAGTGCAAACATTACACGACTGGATAACAGATGACAACAAGAGCATCACAACACATGACGAGCCGGTGGTCAGACAGTCTGATGTCCGGTTGAGAGATTTCGAATTG